GTACAGGAATGCTGCCTGACACCCTACAGTGCGCAGGACGGCCCCCGGCCCCACTGCAAGGAGTAACTTGGTCTCAAAAGTCAGTAGGGCCAAGGTTGGGATACCCTGTGTTTTAGACAAATCCCACCTCTTTCTGGGCCTCTTTTTTTGGCGGGGGGAGGGATGTCTCTGGATTCTTTGTTTGTGTATTCTTGGGAGATGGCATGCTGTTTGTTTGTTTTTTTTTAATAAATAAATTTATTTATTTATTTTTGGCTGCGTTGGGTCTTCGTTGCTGCACGTGAGCTTTCTCTAGTTGTGGCAAGCGGGGGCTGCTCTTCGTTGCGGTGTGCAGGTTCCTCATTGCAGTGGCTTCTCTTATTGTGGAGCACGGGCTCTTAGGCGTGCGGGCTTCAGTAGTTGTGGCTCACAGACTCTAGAGCGCAGGCTCAGTAGTTGTGGCTCGCGGGCTCTAGAGCGCAGGCTCAGTAGCTGTGGCGCACGGGCTTAGTTGCTCTGTGGTGTGTGGGATGTTCCCGGACCAGGGCTTGAACCCGTGGCCCCTGCATTGGCAGGTGGATTCTTAACCACCGCGCCACCAGGGAAGTCCCAGCATGCTGTTTTAATTGCTGTCACTTTATCAAGCACCTACTTGGTGTCTGGGAGAATTAATTGTCTTACACATGAGGAAAGGGAAGCTCAGAGTGAGGTTTCTTCAGCTCAGTTAAAATGGTAGAGCCCAGGCCCACTCCAGAGGCAGGAACCCTAATTACCATAGCGGCCAGAGTAGCCAGGGGCTCAGCAGTGGAGGCCAGGAGGCAGGTGGAACCTTAGCCCGCCCCCTGCAGGACCTGGTTCTCTGAGCCACGATGACAGGCAGGTGACGAACCCAATGAGGCAGCGGATCTCACCAAGTCCCTAAACCCACTGGACTGCTTTGAAGAAGCAAGTTCTGGAAAATGTAAGTGATCCTGCCACCACCTCACCAGGACAGTGGCTTGGCATTTACTGAGGCTCTTTGCATAAAGAGCCAAGAGGTTAGTGATGGGGTTCGTGATCCCATTTTACAGTAGAAGAAACAGGTTCAGAGAAGCAACACCAGGAGGCTCCAGTCACACAGTGATGCCAAGGAGAGCTGGTGCCTCACACCCACACCGCGATGACCTCCCCAGCTCTGCCCACCCCTCAATACACAAGTCGGTACCTCGAGAACATCCCCGGTACCTCGAGAACATCCCGACACCGCCCCCCCTTACCCCAGAGACTTTCCGCCTGCAGGGCCGCCTCTGGCTCAGTAGGGCTCTGAGCCAAACACTTTACCCCATGACGGTTTAATCTGATTTCCTCAGTGACCCCCTGATGTAGAACCTCGCACTTTCCCCATTGTGTACAACTGAGGACAGTGAGGCTCAGACAGAGAAATTGCTGGTCCAAGGTCCCGCAGCTGGGAAGCTGGGAAGCAGTGAAACCTAACTCTTGAGCTGGGCAGATTCCTTTCATGTGGCTGAGGAAGCCCCCAGCCCAGCCTACACTGTGGGTCCCCTGTGTCAGGGAGATAAAAATGGACTCTGTTTGCCCAAACAGGACCAAACTGCCAAAGCATTGGCATATTTCAAAGCACCAAAGAACCCTCCGGTCTACTTGTTCTCCTCCCACATCCCCTTATTCTCCACCCGTGACAGGGAGCTCACTACCTCTCCAGCAGTTCCATCTGTAATAAAGTCCTCCCTCAGCCCGAGGGAGATTGTCCTGCTGCTCCCCCACCAGCCTTCTGGAGCTGGAGATGGGGGGCTGCTCTCAGCGCGGGGCAGCTGGAACATTCAAACACCCTGATGTCGACCTAGGCTGGATGGCCAATTCCCCAGTGCTCAGCCACGGGCCTGGATGTCCTGGGGCCATAGCTCTCGCTCACCCTCAGCCAGGAAGACAAGGAGGGCACGGTGCAGCAGATGCACCCCCAAGCGGCGGCGCCGGGTGGGTGGCCAGCCGGCCACCACTCCATAGCAGTGTCCTTGCTTCTGGTTGGTCAGCGTCTGGATCCCTGTGGAGATTAGGGGTAAGGTCACAAAAGCAGCCTCTAGGAACCCCAGGCAGAAGTATGTGCCAGTAAACCCACTGGGTATTGCCCTCAAGCAGGGATAAACCAACGGAGCAAAATCTGTGCATGTGCAGGTACATAATTGGTGCTCAATAATTGCTCACTGAATGAATGAACAGCCCTGAGGGGCAAGGGGTGAGGGAATCAGTAGATCAAGTGCCCTTCATGTGACCCCCCCCGCCCCGACCCCACAAGCCAGGCACCTACCTAGAGCATCCACAAGACATGCTTCTCGAGTGTAAGCCTCCACAGCAACCACATGCTGGAAGCAATGCAAGGAGACAACACCGCGACCACTGGCCCAAATGTCTAAGATCTGGCGCACCTTGGGGCAGGCCTGGGGGGAGCCAGGGCAGTGTCAGAGGTCTGCCCCCCAATTCCCTCTTTCCTCTACCTGCCCGCAACTGTGCCGCCCCTGCCATGAACCTGGTCCTTATCGTCACACCTGTTTTCCTGGCCACCCTCGGTGGCTAAGGGCCCTCCAGAGGTGGACATTCGGCCGGGCCCGTGTTCCCTTGCCCACGTAGAAGATGGCATGCACAAAAATCCGAAGGCATTCAGCCAGGGTCAGTGAGAAGGCTCGGGCTGGAAGGTTCTGAGTCTTCCTAGATGAAGTAGGTGGCTCAGAGAAGGAAAAGTGACAAGAGTCGCCCCAGAGACAGTCTTTAAAGACAGAGCAACCCACGTCCAGTGACCCCTATTTTATAAAAAGTAGGGTGGGTGGCTCTTCGCCAAGGACACTCAGCAGCTTGAATTGGATCCAACTGCCTTTTATAGATAAAGAAGCTGATGACCAGAGAGGGCCAGTTCCCTTCCTAAGGACACACAGCAGATAAGAACCAATTTCAGAATTTTCCAGTTCCCACTTCTGGGTCATTCCTGTTCCAAGTACCTGGGGTCCAGCAGCAGATATGTGAAGCTGGACTTCATGACCCCCTCCCGCCACCGTCTGGTGGGTTCTGGCCGCTCAAACTGCTTGGCAAGTGCATCCTCATCTGCCTGGGCATCTGGGATACGGCCGGTCCGCAGGGCTTTGGCCAGCTCTGGGCTGTGCCCTGAGAATTCTAGGCCTGGGAGGGGAAACTGAGTCAAGAGAGACAAAGGAAAGGATGTTTCCCAGAGATGAAGGGAGAAGTGGGTTGCACTGAGAGCCACGGGTCTCCAAGGACTCCTGGAGGCTCCTTGGACTCTGGATACTAACCACGAGCAGCCTGGGCTTCTTCTAGTGGTTGGAGGTAGTATGGCCGGGTGAAGGACGTGATGGGACTGTGGCTCTTGCCAAGTGCCCGGAGCCCTCGCAGCAGCTCCAGGTCAGACATGGTGGGGTCCGGTGGGCACTGGCAAGAGGGGATGGGGTCCCTGCCACCTGTGGCGCTCGCCTCATCCTCTGTAAGCCAGAGGGCAGCCACATCACTGTCGAGGGACAACTGGTCATCTTTTGGGATGTGGAAGTCAGAGGGTCCAGGCAGTGCTTCCCAAGGGGCACTATGGGCTGGGCTCCTCTCTGGAAAGAACTTGGGGGAGGGGGAGGCATCTGGCAAGGTCAGAGTCAGGGCCTGCAGACGGGCATTTAGTTCTGCCTCCCTGTCCTCCACGAGGGCTCGATGTTCCTGCTGTGGGGTACCCGAAGATCTTGGCACCCTCTGGGAGGGTCGGACACCAGCCCAGGGGGACATGTGGGCGGTTGGGTCCTCAGCTCCAGAGGCCTCAACCGCGGTGACAAAGGAGGCAACTGAGCTGCAGTCCCAGCATCCCAGGGGGGACTCCAAGCTGCCATCTGTGTCAGCAATCTCAGGGTGGGCAAGGAGGCTGGGGGGTCCAGGGCCAGCCTCCAGGCTCATGTCCTTGTCATCACCTCTGCCCAGTGTTGTAGAGTCCAGTGTCACACTGGGAGGTCCAGAGGGGCTGATATTCAGCCCCTTTCCCCAAGGGCCTGGGCCTGGAGCAGGGGATAAGAGTCGGAGTCAGAGAGGAGGGGAGGAGGAAGTGAGAGACAAAGATGGAAGTCAGATCAGACAGAAAGAGGTGGCTGCAATCGCAAAGAGGAAGGACAGAGTCGGAGACAGAGAGACGGACCAGAGACCTTAGTCGTGAAACAGAAACAGTGGGAGAGCGTGGATGTCACACACA